GCCTTGGTTCTGTTTTAGAGTTTTCAGCTTCACTTTGATCCATGTTTTTCTTTCTTTTCTCGTTTTATTGTTTTAATTCCTATTTTGTGGTGTTTTCTAGATGTATTTGAGTTCTTAGTTTTTTCTTGCTTGCCCTCGCTTACCCTAGCTCCCTTCTAGAATCCTCTGTTCACACCTGCTCCCAATCAGCTCATTAGTCCTGTCTACGTTCAGTCTCCTATATATACTCTCCCTGTGCAGTTCCTCAGTGCCGGTTCTTCATCTTTACTTGGCTCCACACCCGAGTTTTCCCCTGAAGTTGTCTGGTTTATGGTTCCCTATATTTTGTACTTTGGTTTTTTGGATATTTGCCTCAGTTGATCAATTAAATCTACAAGAGCTCACCTCTGCCTCCTCACCTCTGCATTTGGGTTCTCAAAACCTCAACCAAACCCTGACACTAATAAAAGGCTAAATGTTGTTAGTGGGGAACATGTAATTTAGACATGCTTACCAAGAAGTATTTTCGGCAGTGGAACAAAGTTATCATATTCCCAAAACCTAAAAAGATGGACGCACACAAGAAACATATCTTTTATCAATGGGACTTTTTCAATGGCAGCAATAACTTCTTCCATTTTTGTCTTTACAACAGTGTTTGCTTATGTTTAGGATGGGAAAAAAAAGTTGTGTTGGTAAATTTGTTATGAATTGGTTTGGAAAATAAACAGCATGGTCTGCAAATAACTATACACAGCCAGGCTGATTCTGTCCCTGATTATTTCCCCTCTTTCTGCAGAAAGTGTAGGCTCCATTGTGGATATTTTTCAAGTACTTACTTGAAATTAACTGTAAATTTATTAAGAAAAAAAATCCACGTTGTCTAGACCTTGATGTTTGATGATGAGGGGAAATGCCCCAGGTAGCATTTTGCTCCACTATGTTGCTGTCTCAAGTGGAGGAGTTCAAGTATCTCGGGGTCCTGTTCACGAGTGAGGGACGGATGGAGCGTGAGATCGATAGAGGGATCGATGCGGCGGCAGTGATGCGGTTTCTGTATCGGACTGTTGTGGTGAAGAGGGAGCTGAATCAGGGGGCAAAGCTGTTGATTTACCGATCGATCTATGTTCCCAACCTTGGTCTTTAGATCTGGGTAGTGACCCGAAAGGACAAGATCGCGACTACAAGCTCATGGATGGCTGGAGTTTCTTTCGCACCACCCTTCGAGATCGGTTGAGGAGCTCAGTTACCAGGGAAGACCTTGGAGTAGAGTCGTTGCTCCTCCACGTCGAAAGGAGGTGAGGTGGGAATCGGGTATCTGTCTAGGGTGCCTCCTGGTCGCCTCCATCTGGAGGTGTTCCAGGAATGTCACATTGGGAGGACATGCCTACCTCGTGGAAGGCCCAGGACATGCTGGAGGGATTATGTCTATGAGCTAGCGTGGTGTCACCTCGGGGTCGCCCCCAGAACAGCTGGAGGAGGTTTGTGTGGATCAGGAGGTCTGGGCGTCTTTGCTTAGACTACTGCCTCCGCAACCTGGCCCTGGATAAAGTGGAAGAAAATGGAAGGATGGATGGATGGATGGATGGATGGATGGATGGATGGATGGATGGAT